AACTGAGTGGACACTTACAAAAAAATCATATTTTCGTGGCGAACTGCTGCATCGTTTCCTCCGATTCTCCTAAAAACAACAATCTCGAGAGGCTTTGAAAATTAAGCTAAGAAAAATCGTAAATAGTTATCACCAACAGCAACTCACATTGGGCATTATAGCTGAACCTTCTGGATATTTTTCCCGGTACTTGATAAAATCCATTTCGCACAACTTTTCCTGAAAATAATATTGAAAAAACATGAGTCACGAAAGACTGAGAACCGACAGTCATCAACTGAAATGAATGAGGGCAAAGCAGAACAAAAAAAAAACTCACGTTTGTTGTGTTTGGTTCTTGTGGTACTTCCACTACATAAAATTCGCTCTCACCTCGAAAAGCCACATTTCTGAAAATAAAAAAGCTTAAAACAGCACCCAGATGACCAGCTATGATGGTCGGTCTATGTACTGCATTAGTGCCATTTTCCCAACTACTATGAATACGCTTATTACGACTGAACGGGGCTGTCTAGCAATTACGCATCCTCCCGTCTATTTCATGTCTATATTATTGATAATCTGGACTACTCTGCTGACTTCTCAAACGCTGGAATGTATCGACCCCAGCAGAACCTGTGTCTGGTCTGGAAATAGTCCCACGGATAATGCCACGTTTTACACAAAAAAGGCTGAGAGGATGTTTCGCATCAAGAGTGCAACCACTGGAAGCCCAGCCTTGACAATGTCGATCTCACTTTGTCGGTCATACAGCATCGGTTTTCACACAGAAACAGAAGTGTGCATTTTATTTTGTTACACTGTCACATCAACGACATTCTCGTCGCCAACCACTCAAAGTTTGTTGATTTCATTAATAATTATAGATTAGTCTTCCAGCCCAACACTACTCTCTCCGGGTAAACGATTTTCTTTCTTAATCTTGAAATCAAATAATGCACAAGATTTGTTTGACGCATAAAATGAGACACAACAATCTTCTTACTGTGCGCCAAGACGGGTTTTCAGGAAGTTACGTAGGCAAAGCTGCCCATGAAGAAGTTATTGCGTTCCAGTTACTTCGCCACGCACGCATTTGTATTACCAATAGTAGGCTAAGTGGCCACTGCAAGACACGATACTCAAGTCAGTAACGGTCTCATCACCTGGTCGCAGACTGCACAACCGTTGCAGCCGACGTAAATCCACATCATCGTCGATATTCACAGCGTCAAAGTGGATCAACCTCTTCAGTATCATTGTTCCAGAAGTGATTTCGTAATCAATGAAGAAAGCAGAAGAGGGAACGCTGGCTGTGACGAAGAAAGCAACAGAGCTAAAAATGGCGGATCAAGTGCCAATTTTCCGTGACTATGTAAGCAGCCAGATTCTCCGACAGATGAACGACAATGCAAGAGTAGCTGAAGGAAAACATTTGATGGAGAGAATAAGCCTTGCTGATAACTAGTGATCAGCGTGTATTAGTGAGTAATTGTACCCACGACAGTAAATACCACTGCAACAGACTCGGAAAAGGTGATGCACATGCATCGAACAGGCGCTGTGCATTAAGTAGAAATATTTAGCTCAGGATCACAAGATCTGCTGAAACAGAGCTCGCCAAGTGGAAGCGTCCAGTCGTATCACCAACATGAGATTTATACGTCGAATGGCCAGACAGTCTTGGAATTTTTGGTATTGGGGTAGCACGATTTTCTCGACGCACCTAAACCAGAACGCCAAATTCGTGACAAAAAAAATGAAACTTTGCCTAGCGCAACCGAAAACTACTTTTTTTTCATTGGTTCTCCGGATGAACTCTCCTTTGACGGCAGGCTGCTTTTTCGAACAACTGCGAAGCTGATGTTAGCATATTTTTGAGCAGCAGGTGATGAGACCACTATTTCCCTAAAAACAACATTCAGCTAAATTCCACTGCATTATACTGATTGCGGTATTTATATCTCTTTCGATGTTTCCCATCCCTCTTTTTATTTTTCCTCTTTCCCCTTTTTCCGCTTTTTTGTTTTTCCACATTTCTGTTTTCTTCCTTCCCCTTTCTTCTTTGCTCACTTTAACACTTAATTTTTAAAAGCGTTTTATTTTTCAGCGTTTTATTATTCAGACACACTTCTGTAAAACTGATATTACAACCCTATATGAGATCTAACTGGTGTACTGAAAAGTAATAAATGTGGCCTTACAGACCGAAACATTCCTATTCAGCTATTACGCATTTTGTACTTTAACAGTTGCACAAAACGCATATTGTCGAGACACTGCCTGTGTATGCACCGAGTGCATTTTATCCGGGGGTTTCAAGTCGGGAACCAGAGAAGCTAGAAAGCTGAAATTTTAGTAGGATGCACCTCGAGCAAATGTCACCTATTAGACTCAAATTCAGCCTTTACACACCCCCGGGTATCACGTGCGGCGTCGCGAAAGTTTTGGCAGGGCCACATGCGTCACCTGCGGGCATGTGAGCCTGTAATGTTAAGTTATCCCTCCTGCCCTATGACTCAGCAAAATTTTAAACTAGGCCCTCTTACGCGCCTGAATATCACGTACGGCCCCGTGAAAGTCTGGGGACCACTATTCTGGGAACCACAAAAGCAAACGAGCTAAAATTTTCGAGTAACGTCCCTTGCGTATGTACAAGACAGTAAATTTAAATTTCAGTCTTCCCGTTCGCCTGGGTATTGCGTTTGGCCCCGTGAGTGTTTTGGCGAAGAAAATCACTATTTCGGGAACAACGAAAACTAGCAGGCTGGAATTTCAGAAGAATGATCCTAATCTAAGTACAACTTTGCAGATAGAATCAAACTTCCATCCAAGCCTGAGTCCCACGTATGGCCCACCGAAAGTCTTGGCGGAAAAAGTTATTATCTCAGAGGTGAGAAGAGCTGGCAGGCCGAAAACTTCAGTATGATATTTTTTGCTCGTGCAGGCCCAATGAACTCAAACTTAGTACCCAATTAATTATGACGAAATCTCACATAAGATCACGATTTGGAGCGGAAATTACTCGGAAGCCAGGAGATTGAAAATTTGGAACAATGTTCACAGTCCAAGTTTTCAAACTCAACTTTCACGTACATTCGCATGTGTACTGGTAACTGAAATTTTTGATGGGAAATTTCGCAGTTTAGGAACCAGAGCTTGTCAGCTATTTTTTCACAGACCAAGCTAAAAAAACAGCGAAAATCCTTAGAAGACAAACGTCCGCTAATCGAAACTGCACAAAACGCATGATCGCACAGGTTATCCTGGCGCGTGCCACCATTTTTATTTCACTTACACTTTTTTCCTATTTTTACCCGTCTAACTATTCACAGATTGTTACATTCGATATAATTTATCGTTTACTAATTACACTATTACTGTTTACACTGTTATTATCATTACTGCCCTATTATCATTATTATTAGTCAAGTTACATCATCACATCAGTATAATATTAATATGTTATTATTGTTTTTGATCTACTGCTAAGAAAAATGATATTTCATTAATTTTACTGCTACCAGCGATAATAGTAGTTCCTTATCATTATTACTTTATATGAATTTTTTGCAATCATGTAATACGAAAACGCATATTGTCGGAAGGCTGTATTCGTCTACACCGGTTTTTCATCTCGAGACCTAGAAAAGCTACAGGGCTGAAACTTTGAAAACTCAAGCTACATGCATGTACGGACTCTCACCCCGAAATGGGCGCTCTTATCTGCGTGATATCCACGTACGAGTCCGCCAAAGCCTTCGACGGGTAAGCCGTTAATTTCAGAACCAGGAAAGCTAGAAAGCTGAAATTTTAAGAGGAAGTTCCCCATCCACGTAGGTTTTAACGAGTTCAAACTCAG